TGTGCAAATTCAAGGAATTGGGCAAGTAGAGTTGGAATTAACTTCCGGAAAGAAATTAATTCTTAATGATGTGTACTTTGTACCACAAATCCGGAAAAATCTTGTCTCCGGTGGCATCCTAAATAACTTTGGGTTCAAACTTAGCTTTGAAGCAAATAAGTTTATTTTATCTAAGGGTGGTGTATTTGTTGTCCAAGGTTTCTTTTGTAATGGCATGTTCAAACTAAGTGTTGTAAATAAAGTTGTTAATTCTGTTTATATGGTTTGTGATTCTTCTTTGTGGCACAATAGGTTATGTCATGTTAATTATCGTAGACTAAGTGACATGTCTAAAGTAGGTTTAATTCCTCCTATTAATGTGAGCATAGAAAAATGTAGAACTTGCATGTTAAACAAAATCACTAGAAACTCTTTTCAAAATGTTGAAAGAAAATCCAACATGCTTGAATTAGTGCATAGTGATTTGTGTGATTTCCATAGCACTCTTTCTTTTGGAAATAAAAAATATGTAGTCACATTTATTGAAGATTGCACGAGATATTGTTATATATATCTTTTATTTTCAAAAGATGAGGCAATAGGATAAATTTAAAGTTTTTAAAACGGAAGTTGAGTTACAAACCGGAAAGAAAGTTAAAAGGCTTAGAACTGACAAAGTGGAGAATATTATGAGCCTAAACTTTTTGAATCCGTTGGAATAATCCATGAAACAACAGGCCCTTACATGCTGCAACAAAACAGCATAGCTAAACGAAAGAACAGAACTTTAAAAGAAATGGTTAATTCCATGTTGTCAAATTCAGGATTAAGTAATGGATTTCGGGGTGATGCTATGTTAACTGCTTGTTATATTCTAAACCCAGTTCCTAACAAAAGAAATAAAATAACCCCACATGAACTTTGGCACAAGAGAACACCCCAACTAAGTTATCTTAGGGTATGGGGTTGTAGGGCAATCGTGAGATTACCGGAAGCTAAACGAAAAATGTTAGGTGAAAAGGGGGTAGAATGCATATTTATTGGATATGCTGAACATAGTAAATCATATCGATTCTATGTTATTGAACCGAATGAATCAATTGCAGTTCATACTATTATTGAGTCTAGGGATGCTCTTTTCGATGAGAAGCAGTTCACTTCTATTCCTTGGCCAAAGGATGTTGTTATCAGTCCAAGTAATTCAAATTTTCATGAACTGGAAAAGGATCATGAAAATGAGCCTGAAATCAGATGGAGTAAGAGGGCTAGAAAAGAAAAGTCATTTGGTCCCGATTTCCAATTATATTTGGTTGAAGGATCAAGAGAGACTCTCGTAACTCAAACACTATATTTTTATAGTGTTGAGGAGGATCCTAACTCTTTTGAGGACGCAATGAAATCTCAAGATGCTTCCTTCTGGAAAGAGGCCATGAACGATGAAATAGATTCAGTCATGGGCAATAATACTTGGGTTCTAAGTGATTTACCACCCGGTTGCACACCAATCAGTTGTAAATGGATTTTCAAGAAGAAAATGAGAGTAGATGGTACCATTGACAAGTTTAAAGCTAGATTGGTTGCACAAGGCTATAAACAAAAGTATGGTATTGATTGCTTTGATACATATGCACCGGTAGCCAGAATAACTACCATAAGACTGTTAATTGCGTTATCAGCCATTCACAATCTCGTGATTCACCAAATGGATGTCAAAACTGCATTCTTAAACCTTCACAATCCAGATGGATTTTAAGAATCAAGAATAATATTGAGGAACCTTCTCTTGAGGGGTTTAGATTTTGGTACATATGGAAGGGTATTTGGTTTTTCCGTTTAGGGCTAGTAAACGAGATTCAAGCTTGGGAAATGGTGGAATTTATCCTACAGATATAACTTTCATAATAATGAAGGCATAAGTGATAAACCTACAACTTGTGATGTTTTTATGTCTTTGAACAAATGTAGTGTTAAATTTACAAATCAAAAGATGCATTTTAAGTACATGGTCATTATCACTTATGCCTTCATTATTTGATTTGGACTATTTGCTTATTTGGGTTGAACTATCAGCTAATTTAGGGTTTATGTTAGGAATAGTGTACGAAAACTACACGTGTATTTCTTTGTAAAAGCAATGTAACTGCTTTCTATTAGGCTTCGGTTATGCTAGCTATGACTACAGCTTGTATAAATACTCTGTAATATCTGATTCTAATCAAGATGATTTCATTTCTGCTTCTACCTTGCTCCAATTCTAATATGGTATCAGAGCATTGCTCGATCTAACCATGATGAACTCTGCGTCTGATTCCTCTTCTTCTTCGCAATCATCTTCTCACATTGCTAATCAATCTTCGCCTATCATTTTTCATCATCCTCTACCTATTAAACTCGATTCAAACAATTTTCTGTTCTGGCGCCATCATGTTGAATCAGTGATTCGAGCTCATAAACTTCTCAAAGTCATAGAAAATCCTCAGATACCAGATCGTTTTCAGTTGATGAGAATGGAGCAAAAATAGCTAATGAAGCATACAACAGCTGGGAGCAACAAGACCAAATATTGTTTTCCTGGCTCTTAGCTTCGCTTTCAGAATCACTCTTAGCTAATGAAGCATACAATGAAGCATTCGTTGTGTTGATTCTAACTATGCAAATGATAGAGATAACAGGAAGTCGACCACTTCTTATGTTTTTACTTTGTGTGGCTCTTGCATTAGTTGGAAGTCTCAACTACAGCTTATTGTGGCCCTTTCTACCACTGAGTCCGAGTATGTTGCAGCCACAGAAGCGTTTAAGGAAGCCATCTGGCTCAAACGCCTTGTCTCCGAAATTGGGTTTCTCAAAAAGGGAGTTACCATTTTCTCGGATAGCCAATCGGCTATCCAACTTTGCAAAAATCCTGTATTTCATGATAGAACTAAGCATATTGATGTTAGGTTCCATTTCATACGTGATATTGTTGATGCAGGTGGAGTCAAGCTGTGCAAGATCCCGTCAGAGTTTAACCCTGCGGATATGGGTACCAAGTGTCTTTCTGCTGAGAAGCACTTGTCCTGTAAACGCATGTTAAACTTTGACTGTGGATAACTGTGGGTTGCGTAATAAAGTGTTTGCCCGTTTTATCTGTTGATATTCCGGGTGACCCGGCGATGATGAGTCTCCTCACAACCTGTTTTGCTACTCTACACCACCTAGGACCAATAAGGTGGAGAATGTTGGAGGTATTGGTCCTACCAAGGCCTCCCTTCCACTTTATTATTAAGGCTTGCACCCCATGTTTACTCCCACTTTGATTCCCTTAGTTGAAATCACTCATTGGTGCCTGTTGACTTACAATATGTGAGCCCCCTTTTTTTTGTTGTTGTCCGCTGCACCTCCTGTCTGGCAGCCTGTGACACCCTGTTGATAAGCCTCACCTCTGACTTTCCTTGGCAGCCTATTTGTAGTCCTTTTGTTTGCCCCTTTGAGATAAGCCTGCGTAAATAATCCCAGAGAGCAGTGTCTTCCTTCTTCCTTTCCTTGTGTGAGAGTTCCTTTGTGGAGTGAAGAAGAGTGAGTAAACATGGGAGATGTTGTGGCCTAGCCCTAGAGGGTGTCTGTGAGTTTAGTCTAGAGTGGTTGGAGACCTGAACCGGAGACGGATACGATCCTAACAGAATACCAATCTAAATTGCGGATAACTGTTGGATAATGATGATATAACACAAAATATACAATCATTTTCCAGCTTTGTATGACTTGTGGTCCGAGTGCCTGACCCTTGGACTGGTCTTTTTTGTCGTGCCATCAAAATTGAACCCTAAAATATGAGCTCGTGACTGTGGGGACCACAGTTAGCTAGAGCCCGTGAACCCCATGATTTGTAAAAAAAAAACTGACACCCCATCCCTGAGGGTTGAAGGCCTCCAACCCCGACCAGATAGTACATGTAAATTGAACTATAATCTTAATCTGACCGATAGAGTAGAGTTCTATCCCCGGTACTTGCAAAGACCCTATGCATTTTTAGCATAGTAACCTCCTCTCATCGCAATTGTCGGGATTCGGACCAGAAACCTAACCCTTGTGACACTCTCGGTAAACCCCAACGGGGTTACCCCATGATTTGTGTCATTTGAACGTGTCATCAATAAATCATTCCAGATTGTGCACGTGTTGTGTGCTCCAGGATGGACCCGGGCTGGTCCGGTTCCGGTTCCGAGCCAGGCCCGAGCGGGCTTTTTTCCATTTACTTGGGTCCAGAACCGGCCCGAGTAGATACGGCATCCAGGCCTAACCAAGCCGAGCCCGATTCAATGTTTAATTTTTTTTTGGCTTTCTTGTTATCCCCCAACCCCCTCCCCCAAACAGGGATGGACCGGTTCCGGTTCGGGCCTGGGCCCGGCCGGGCCTCGATTCATGAAGGGGGAGGCCCAGAACCGGCCCGGGTAACCCCTAGGTCCAGGCCGGACCTCGATTCTATTTTTTTTTTTTTGGCTTTTCCTAGTTAACCCCCAAGGCCACAACCCTCCCCCTCACCCCCAAACCAACCCTAACCACCTCAAATGGCCCAAAATACCCAGCCCAACCCAAAAACTTAAAAAAAAATCAAAAAAATAATAATAATAAATTGGTCCGGCCAAGGCCCGAACTGGCCGGGCCGGTTCACCTTTTGAAGGGCCCGAGCCCGAACTGCCATCCCACCGGGCCGGGTGGCTCAAACCGAGCAACCAACCGATTCACCGGGCCGGTCCGAGCCCGCACAGTAGCGGGCCGGTCCGGTTCCGGGCCGGTTGGCCCGACGCCCCGGCCCGAGTCCACTCCTACCCCCAAACCTCCCCAAAACACCGAGCCCTACCCTAGGAAAAGAAAACAAATTGAAAAAAAAGGCCCAAAAACAACCCGAACCGGCCGGTCCGGTTCAACAAATGGGGGCTCGTAACCGGCCCATCAGACCCGCCCAACCCGGGCTAAAGCCCGTAACCAGCCATCCAGGTCCGGTTCGGGTCCGTACAGTAACGGGCCGGGCCAATTCCGGTCTGGTTGGGCCCGGTTGGGTCCATGCCTACGTGTGCTCATGGTGCTATAGCTAAGAAAAGGACTTTTTTATTCGTAAAAAATAAAAAAGAACTTTTATTCGATCAAGTAAAAAAACAGGTAACGCTGAACAAATAATAATAATAATAATGTTATACTAGTAATACGCAAGAATATCCTTGTGTTTTTTAATGAGGTGGCCTAACTTCAGGTTAAGCCATTAGCTAAAAACACCCCATTTGCTAAAAACCATTAATAAAATTAAATGCAAACAAAACTTCTGCTTTATAATTAAGAATAAATTTACATTAAACTAAAACATGCTTCTCAAGCAATTGCAGCAGCATCTGCGAGATTGGCGGCAGCATCATCTTCGGCAACGAGCTCATCGCGAAAGAGGAGCTTAAGGTATGGCAGGACTGTCGGAACCACGGGCAGATCTGCTGCATTTATACTCATCAGATCAAAAGCAATGCAGGTTTTATGCATGTGGGATTCGTCAAACACCGGAATCTTGGGGTATCTTTGGCTGAAGTGTGTAAGGATTACGCGATATGCTCCGGCAGTGTCCCCGGTCTCAACCGCTTCCTTTGTTGTGCTGTGGTTTCTTGCTATGGCCTCTTCCAGCATCCCATCTTCAAATGTAGCCTGCACCAACCAACAACACTAAATGTGATTCTTGTTGTGCATCCAAAGAAGTGGTTTCTTGTTTATATTTGTTGTTCACTGCGGAATGGAAGGGAAGAAAACTTCTGGGGAAGGGGAAAAAACTAGAACTGAATAAAATCGATTTGCTATCTGTTCAAACTCTTTTTTATTTATTCATTTCTACTATCTAAAGATTTAGAATTCTATATATACATTTATTACAATTTAAAAATATTAATTGTAATTCCTTCTGAAATTTTATCAATTCTTTCTGAGACTTTATTAATCCAAGACCTGAAAGACAGGTTAACTATAAATTAGAGACTAGAAAGATGAAAACTGTAAATATAGGACCCGAACGATTGAAAATATCAAACACCTTAAATACCATGGATTTTATTTTTTTTATTTCAGATAATTTAAATATTTTAAATGTTATTTAATTTTATTAAACTAAAACTTATGTGACGAAAAAATTATCAAAAAATAGCATTAGATTAAATAAAAACTAAAGAGATCAAAACCTACTTAGTATAATATTTTAGGGCTTAGATTGATAACTATCAATCATTCGGACCATATATTGACAATTTTAATTTTACATGTCCCTGATTGATAGTCAAGTAAGTCAACTGTCTTTGAGGTCCTAGGTTATAAACAAATCTTTATGATAAGAGATGCATGAAAATAGGAAAAAACAGCTTACCTCGTGAATAAGAACTGTTGCTCCACGAGAAGCTTCAATTAGATCAGGACAGGGCCTAGTATCGCCGGAGTAAACAATCTTCCATCCCGGTATCCTTTTCCCAACGCTAATAGTTCTTTCGGCAGCTCTAAGTACAACTCCATAAGCTAGTGGGCAATGTATAACGGGAAAACTAATCAACCCTTCTAGTCCCGCTTCGCTTAAGACTTCATTAAGGTTTCTTAATATTGGGAATGTCAAGGAAGAGTCAACCGGACTGCCCGGCCGCTTCCAATAACTCTGCATCGGACTCCCTTTCACAAAAAGACTAGAATCAACCCCTCCCTGATTTAACTCGCCAGTTGCATTGCCATTCTGCACATTCTCTTCTAGTCCGTTTGGAACTTGGGAAATACTGGGGAAAACAAAACAGAACAATACAGAAAGGTAAAAATATAGAAGAAAGAAAATACAGAGCAGTGGGGGAGGAAATGCTATAATATTGTTCTTAGTTTCTTTGTTCTTGTTTGAATGATGTAAGGCTAAGGAGAGAATGAAAGACAGATGAAAAGAAGCAATTTAGTTAGCTTTCTCAGCAAATTAGAGAGATTAGGTTTGGTGGAAAATAAACATTAAATTTCCTTTTTCTCCATAATTCTTTTGCATTTTTCAAGGTAAACATAAACATAAAAAATCACTTCTCTTAGCATGAATTTTTCCCTAGCATCTTTCATGATCCAAACGTACCCATTGTGTGACTCAAAAGCCTTCAGTGAAGATTCTGTGGTATTCCTGCAATCAAGGAATTGCATATCTAGGTCCTCAAGGCGTTGATATGCATCAAGAAATCTCTTGAGCTGTCTAGGGCCAATGACAATCAAAGGCTTGTGAGGAACATCTTTTAGCAAATTACGTCTAAGAGCAAGTATTCTTGCAAGACCAGTATGATGATCAGCATGTATATGAGAAATCCAGATACACCTCAAACTTTTCACAGCTTCGTCAGCACCTTCAATACCATACCTTCCTTGCAAAACTTTGCACTGTTAGGTGAGGAGATGAAAACGAAAAGTAAAAGCCCATATTAACTCTCGTTTTCCAAAGAAAAATATTGTCATAAAATCTTTTAAAAACAAATAGATATGGTACAACAAATGTGGAAAGAGAATTAAAAGGTATCAACTTTACAGTTGAATCATTCTGTTGCATCACTTTTATGTTGTTTTTAACAGTTTGTTTATGCTCCATTTTGTTTGAAAAAATAAAATTAGATGGTCTCTTAGTTTATCAGTGCATGTGTGTCAGCATGTAGTCCTGCACGCAAGCATGCGTGGGTGGGTGAATGGGTGTACACACACGAATTGTCTGGAATAAGTACCTTCGTTTAAGTTGCCCTAGTGTCCCTTCACCGCAATCCAGGAGAATACCTCCCTTCGAGAAGAGATTAATGAAGATAGAACTAACATTGCGGTATTTTGAAGGCTGGGACGACCCTGTCCCAAGAAGAACAATCTCCATGTCATCTCTCTTTATGCCTTCCAAACATGGTTCTTCATTGACATCTCTGTTCCCCCCTCCATGCCACAACTGGGTGATGTGCTGAGAAGCATTTTCAATCTCAGGGATTTCTGATATTAACTCACTGATTATTTCAGGTGGAGATGTAAGATTTGGCACACAAGACCTATCTAATCCAAGTTGGGAGTAAGGCCGCAGATGGAACTGTTCCACAATAAATACCATATCAGCCATAAGTCAAGACATAATTACAACTCATGATTTTGCTTCTTTTTTCGAGATAGTAAATCTATGCAACACATCGAAGTTTTTAAAATTCTTAAATATGCATTTAAAATTGTACATTCCTATCCCATTAAAAGCACCCTGAAAGACATGTCAGCTAGCAAATGAGATGCTAAAAGATCAATTTAGTAGCTAAATGATTGAAATGTGAGAATATGCTCTTGGATTGATAGTTCAATCATTAAGGTCCTAAATTGATACTTATCATCTTTCATGTCTTGAATTGATATTGACCTACCCTTTGGGTATTAGTCATAGATTGTGAAGTAACTTTTCCAAAATCAATTGTACCAAACAAGTTCAATATTTTAAACCTAGTTAAGCCAAGCAAAAACTTACAAATATAGCTACGATTAATGTTCATAAGGATGTATTTTACTAAAACTATAAAAGTTATACTGTGGTGGAATGTGTACTTTTTTATGACAAGGCACAAGGGTAGTGATAGAGTATATAGGCCTGGACCTACAGCCCACATGCTCACAAGATATTGGGATAGGCCCAACAGCTAGCCAGTTACCACCTCGGATGAGCCACTCAGCCCGCCAAAGGTACTTCCAGCAGACAAAGCCAAGTCATTTGCAAGAAGCAAGGTCACTTTCAACTACCAACCCCTCGTCCGCAACCCCCAGCCAGCCGAGGGGCCTATCACCTGCCGAAGGCCGAATCCAAACACCAGTTGATTCTACCACAGACACACAGACAAGAGTACATACCCCTTGGCCATCACGGTCCGGATATCAGTGGCTGCCATATTTTTATATTTTACGGGGCTTCGCTCATAGACTAGCATACAAGTGAACTCGCATTTAATGCACTTAGCATTTAATATTACTATAAATAGTCCCATGTATTGCAAGATATATTTCTCTCTATATTTAGCTCTGTCTTCTCTCTAAAATACTACTAGTGGGTTCCGGTATAGCTATCAGGTGATATTACATTAGATTGTTGACTTTGAAATATAGTTTTCTGTGGCATTAATTTTTGGTAGAAAGCAATTGACAGATTGTGAACGTGCACGGTGCACAGTAGTGAACTCATCCACGGCAGCCAATACATACCTTGAGAAGATTCTCAGCAGAAATGATTCCATCAGCATGTGGCAAAGATCCCTGTAATAAATAAACATAAATCATTTCTCAGTCCACCAATGCTATGTATGGAACCTGGAAAATGGCAAGGAAAACGAATCTAAGAAAAAAACAATTATTATGTTTGGTTTACCAAGGAAATTTGAACGAAACCCTGTTTTGAATTTTTCTTAAATTAAAATTAACATTATACATCTCTTTATATAAAGAAATGTATAAATACAATAAGTCTGTTAATGAAAACTATAGTTGAACATATTGTACCTCGCTTGCAAAAATTGAGGATGGTGGCAACCCATTCAGTTGTTTTAGAGACCAAAAACCAGGGGCTGGAAATAACTGTGGACTTAGGTAGTTAAGTCGAGTTGCAACTCTTGCACTAGCTTTTAGAATTGGAATCTCAATATTCTTCCTACAAAGAGGACAATAATGAACTTGAATATTACATAAGCACCATTAACCACTCAATTGGTATCTTCAAGTGTATTTGAAAGAATTAAAAGGGGGGGTTAAACAAGATTTTCGTCCCTGGAAAAGTGGAAATACGCTGTTTTTTTTATCTATGTGTTTTCACATCCCATAATTTACAAGGATCTAAACGAAAAAGATAATTCAAAGCCCAAGCTCTGTGACTTGCATAAGCTTTTTTATTAAGTTCTTTAGTTTTAGGTTGGAGTGTGATATTTAATCCTTTTAAAAACTTAAAAAACTACATGGGTAGCCAGTTCTATACCATATAAGTTTGCAAAAAGGGATGTCCTCGGGAAGGGACTAAAGTAAATATCATAAAGACCTAAAACAAACATGATAGAGATCGATCCAAACAGTAAAAACAGTAGTATATTCAATCAAGGGAATTCTGAGAAATCCTCGGATATCCTTAGGAAATTACAAAGCAACGGAAGAAACGTAACAGAAGTATAGAGGCAAGTTCGAGAGTACCTATCTCTCCCAAGAGTCCCAGTTCCTATTCCCAATTTCTGCCTGCCTTATTCTACGCCCCAAGACATATTTATCATATTCCTTATGGGCAAGCCCACTGCTATTTAGTTAGAGGGCCTAAACATCTTTTATTATACACTATTAAAAGACACTATTATTCTTATTACTATCACTATCTAGGTCCCTATCAAAACACAATATAATCACAAAGGAGAATAACATATTTAAACAACAACGAAATAGGCAAGCAACTCACAGCTCATGCCCAGCCATGATATGTTGGGCCCCACCAAATCTTGACATCCATTGTTGATACATGGATGTAGTAGTTACCGTTGAAGGACTGAGGTGAACTACACAGTTTACAAGCTTGCAGTTTTCCTCAGAAATGGGTGATTTATTTGAATAATATGGTGCAAGAGATTCAATGGAATACAACTCCTCTAGGTGATACATGGTTGGGCAGTCAACAATGAGCACAATAGGACCAGGAACAGAAGGTCCCATCACATCACTCGGGTGAATCTGCATTATAGAATTGATAAACACATCTACGAAATGATTAGACCAAAAAATGAATTCATGTAAAAAAATAAATCTGGTATAATAACCTCTATATAAGAATAGTCTTAAGGAATTGTACCTTTTCCGACATGGGCCAATTAGTATATTACATTTGGGTTGTTATTAATAATGGGCTATTAATAATAATATTAAAGAGTAGTTTAAATAGGAGGAGAGGGAATAATAAGAGGTAGGCAGAATTTTAGTTGGAATTAGGACGGGAGACTCTAGAAGAGTCTCAATCCTGTTTCTTCTCTTTCTTTCTATTTCCGCCATTGTTGTTCGAGTAATCCTAATAATTCATCGGACTTCCTAATCAATATACTATTAACTTTCTGCTGCATTTGTTGAGTTCCTAACATTGGTATAAGAGGATCACTAGAGTGGAGAATGAGTTTTATGTGTTCGCAAATGGAAAAGAGCATTGAAAGTGTTGAACGTGATTTGGCAGGGATGAGAACTGCGGTGGAGGAGATGCACAACTTGTTGGTTCAACAACGTTGTAGGCAGTATGAAAGCCAGGGCTCATCTTCATCGCGAGCAGCTTCTCACAGTTCGCAAGCATCGTGGTTAGCCGATTCTCCCAGTTCGCAGGCGTCGTCGCTAGCCGATTATCCAGTGTCATCGCAAGCAGCTTCTCCCAGTTTGCAAGCTTTGCCGCGAGCAGATTTCCCCAGTTCATAGGCTCCGTCGCGAGCAGATTGTTCCAGTTCTCAGGCTTCGTCACGAGCAGAACCTCCCAGTTCGCAGGCTTCATCGTTCCATCAGGAGTCTGTTAGTTGGCACCACCTCCCTTTGAAGGTAGGAGTTCTTCAAGATCCAGAGAAAATGTAGATATGTTCACCAATGGCGACGATGAATGCGAGGAACAATCATCACTTGCCGTTGGACCTGAAGCGGGCACAAATGCTTGATTTCTCACTCATAATGCTTCCTCCAAATACGAGTTTGTCAAGACAGACTTGGAAACCAATCTGTTCAAGCTCATGGAACGCCGAGAGAAATTTGAATTGGTGGTAGCTTCTATGAGACTCACGGATTCTGAGATGTTCAGGGGCATTTTTGAGATTCGCGCTGAGTTGAAATAATTTCATTGCGGAAATCTGGCGGAGTTAAAGGCCCTGCTACTGCTTCTGGAAGGAAAAAAATCTGCTATTAAGGGAGGAAGACAGTTTGTACTCCTGTTCAAGTGGGATGCCAGCAGTATATATTACGGGAATCTGGCAGAGTCATGGTCTCTTCCCAGATGCCATAACCGTTGGTGAAGATGTTAGTGGGATGCCAGCACTTTGTATTCCTGTTCAAGCTGGAGGTGCAGGTTATGATTATCAGCTTCATATGGCAATTGCTGATAAATGGATCGAGATTCTCAAGAAAAGAGATGAGGATTGGGGGAATTGGGGTTGCTCCACAGCCTAAGTCTGGATTAGATCCTAGCTCCGAACTAAACTCAATGTATCATGTTGCACAACTTGTGAAGTGCAGAGTTGTCAGTTCTAACCCTGCATCAAGACAAATCAACCTCAGTTTTACGTCAAGACCCATGAGGTTATCCGCGAATGAATTAGTTAAACCAAGAAATGTCGTTTCCGGAACCATTGATCTAGTTACTTCTGATGCTCAAATTTGTTTGAAGGGAACGATTCTGCCAGAACATTTATAAGATCATCGTGACCTTGCTGGTTTAACGAATTCTATCTTGAAACCAGGTTTTGAGCTTGACCAACTTTTGGTTCTTGATGTTGAAGGTTGCAATTTGGTACTTTCTGCCAAGTACTCACTCATCAGCACATCTCAGCATGTTCCCCTGGATGTTAGTCAAATTTCCCTGCATTCGGTGGTGCATGGGTATATTTGTAACATAAATGGAAGTGGTTTGTTTGTTCGCTATCTAGGGAGTTTGGCTGGATTTTCTCCCAGAAGCAAGCCTACAGATGACAGGAGATCTGATACCTCTGAAGTATTCTACGTTGGACAATCAGTTCGTATGAACATACTTGATGTTAATGATGAATCTGGTCGACTAACAGTGTATTTGCAGCAGTCATAATGCTCTTCAACTGATGTTACATGTATTCAAGAATGATTTCTTTCAAAACACAAGATTGCCAAGCTTCTATCTTTGGACTCCTCAGATTCTGGACTGAGATGGGCTGATGAGTTTGATCTTGGTAGCATTGTTGAGGGAAAAGTTCATGAAATAACGGAGTTTGGTGCTGTTGTCACTTTTAAGAATCGTGGTGATGTTTTTGGATTTATTTCAGAATACGAGTTGTGCGGAATCAATGTGGATCTGGACTCTACCATCCAGGCTGCTGTAATTGATGTCTCCAAGATAGAGCTCCTCGTGGATTTATCTTTGAAACCAGAAATTGTTAATGGTATCAGAGCTGCTAGAAACTTGCTGGATATACTGAGCACTCTTTGTGAAGCTGTTCAATGAGCAGTCTATACCTGTATTTCTCTTCTGACGCAATCCAAACAGAAGGATGGGAATGCTCTTATCTCTAGGCTTCTAGATATATTAATGAGTGACAAAATGGTGGAGCACTATGTAACAATATCTTTACCTCTAATCATTCCTGCTGTGGAGGAAGTGATGATGAAGGCTCGAGGAAGTAATGATGCTCATGGTCCAGCAATCAGTACCAGGGAAGGGAGAGGCACAATGATAGGACTCTGGTAGAATAGCTCTGATAATAATAATAATAAATAAGAATAATAATAATAATAATATTAGAATAGTTAGTATAAATAGAGGGTGAGGGAGAATAGAAAGGAGGTTGGAATTGTTATTTGGGCTTGGGACTTGGAGAATAGAAAGGAGGTTGAAATTGTTATGCGGGATGGAAATGTTAGGTACCTGGCTGTTTCAAAGTGATTTCAAGAAGTAAAAGATGATAGAAGGAAGATGTGCGTAACAATGGAAGCTGTCGTATAACAGAAAACGTAGAGAGAGAAATACAAAGGCAGTTTAAGAGTGCCACTCTCCAAGTCCCAAGCCCAAATAACAATTCCAAACTCCTTTCTATTCTCCCTCAACCTCTATTTATACTAACTATTCTAATATTATTATTATTATTATTATTATTATTTATTATTATCAGAGCTATTCTACCGGAGTCCTATCATATCTCCCCCCTTGAACATCCACCTCGTCCTCAAGGTGGGTGATAGGAAACCGACTTGACCTTCAACTTTATCTTCATCCTGGCGCCTCTCCCTTCCCAGTACCTAACTGATTGTGGACCATGAACTTCATTGCCTGGAAAACACACTGATTGTTGGGATCTTTGTAATTGTTTTGAACTTTCTCTTCAATTTCCTTCTTTGGATGCACTGGCTGGCATAGTTCTATTAAGCGCAAAGCAAGTTCTTCCCTATTTTCACATGAGGTTTCACCTTCCCATTTCTCAGTATTTTGATGAATACCCAAAGATGCCTGGCAGCTTACAAACACCACAACCAATTTAGATCCTGCTGCCATGTACTGCCGGATGCATACTGGGGAATTGGCAAGCGAAGAGAGAACTGCACATTGATACCCAACAACACTTGGGAAAAAGGAAACTTCAGTGTTGGGTTCATTGATCAAGTATAATGTTGTTTTCTCAGGGCCAGAGCTAAGCCTGTAATAGTAAAATTGGCAAGATTCTTTACCAATAACAACACTCAAAGAATTAGTGGCAGAATCTAGAGCTGTTATTGCTGCACTAGTACTAAGTCTCTCCATGCCATTCACACTATTTCTACGAAGTGACATGTGAGCCATGTGAATTTTTCTTTCAACAATGCTACCCGGATCAAACTCATCATCTCATCTTAATCTGGAATCAAAGAAGTCCCGATATACAGAAAGTACCCATTTGCACCCTTCAACCCCAAGAATCAAAAACTGGTCATGACTTTCAACAATATCAACGCACCTCTCCATCCATCTCCTATTACTAATTGCTCTCAACATACTGTCACATTCTTGATCCTTATCTCTTTTCCTGAGAACGTTGAGTCGTGGACCAGCACTTGCCATATGAAATCTGTAATCAAAATCTAAACCTCTATCTTGAACAATTATACAAACTAATGGCAATCCCATAACCACTTCACCAACTTTAATGGCCTCAGAGGAACGACCAGGAGTGAGATCTTTAACAAACATCAGATACATGACAACTTCAACACCGGTAACATATCTCTCATATTCTGTAGTATTCACAGTAATTCCTCCTTCCAACCCATTTTGAGTATCCATCATAGAAGTAACACCCTCATATATGAAACTATCAAACTTGTTCAATGACTTCAGCCCTTCCAAAGTAATGTTTAATGAATGATAGTACACCATTTCAGACTTTAAAACATTAGGCCAGTTCATCTCCTGTACGAACCTAGAAGTCATCGTGGACTTTGCCACACAAGCATCAGTGTCACATGTGTGTAGAATCTTGAAAACATTGGTTCCCGAATCTGACTTGACAGACTTGTATTTGAGAAAATGAGCAATTGTGCCAACTTCCGATCCAATGTTCGCTGACAATTTCTCAGCGCTTCCCTCATCACCCTCAGTGACTTTCTCTGCCCTAGGCGATGAAGAATAAGCTCGCGAAGAAGTCTGAGAACTGGAAACATCTACTCCAGATGAAGCTTGCAAAAAAATTGAGTGCATCTGTTTGTGAGGAAGATGGTGAACAGTAAGAATCGACGGGTGATGAATATGAGTGGTAAAGATCGGCAAGTGAGGAATCCATCGAACTTGGAAATTCTCCTATCGATTGCGTCGCACTTTGACGGGAAATGAGAGCTGATGAAGGATTCTGGGAAAAATCTGCGAAGAAACCTGCGAACTGGGAGGAACTGTTCGCATCTGCGAACTGGAAGGAACTGTTAGCAACTGCGAACTGTCTTGTGCTTGCGACGACGCGGACGGACTGCGAGAAGAAGTTTGCGACCAATCCTGCGAACTCAAAGAAACGGTTCGCGACTGCGAACTGTGAGACGAAGTTCGCGACTTACCTCTGGCTTCAGATGATGTAGGACTCTCATGTACAGTGTGACGCCTTGAAGTTCTTGATTTTCTTCGTTCATGTCGAGCGTTCTGCTGCAGGATCAATTCGCGCCATTCCGCCATCTCTTTCCGCCTTTCCTCGCGATAGCGTTCAAAATTGCGTTCCAGGATCTCCAGTCTACTTTCCATCGTTCCTTGAGTAGCTGACGCTCTGATACCAATGTTAGGTACCTGGCTGTTTCAAAGTGATTTCAAGAAGTAAAAGATGATAGAAGGAAGATGTGCGTAACAATGGAAGCTGTCGTATAACAGAAAATGTAGACAAAGAAATACAAAGGCAGTTTAAGAGTGCCACTCTCCAAGTCCCAAGCCCAAATAACAATTCCAACCTCCTTTCTATTCTCCCTCACCCTCTATTTATACTAACTATTCTAATATTATTATTATTATTATTATTATTATTATTATTATTATTCTTATTTATTATTATCAGAGCTATTCTACCGGAGTCCTATCACACAAGGATGAAGCTGATTGCCAGGGCTGTTTTACCCACATTGAGGACAAAGTGGTTGTCAATGGGGGGAGTAATGATAGGGACCCAGGCAGAATAGGCTATTAATAATAATATTAAAGAGTCGTATAAATAGGAGGAGAGGGAAGAATAAGAGGTAGGCAGAATTTCAATTGGAATTAGGCTGGGAGAGACCTCTCGAAGAGTCTCAATCCTGTTTCTTCTCTTTCTCTCTATTTCTGCCATAGTTGTTCGAGTAATCATGATAATTCATCAGACTTCCTAATCAATATACTACTAATTTTTCTGCTGCGTTTGTTGAATTCCTAACATTGGTATCAGACCATCAACGATTGCTGGAGTGGATAATGAGTTTTACGTGTTCGCAAATGGAAAATCGCATTGAAAGTGTCAAACGCTATATAAATATGGAAAATAGCATTGAAAGTGTCAAACATTATACATGTATATGCACACACACATATGCAAACACATATAGGTTTACGCGTTCAAATAAACAGTGTTTAAGATGAGAAATGTGAAATCTTTGTTTCTTCTTTGTTACGCTGCACTTTTAGGTTCAAATACTTCATTTTTTCACGATGGCAAAATCGTTGAAACTGTCACCACACTTTTTACCTTATCTGATCCATTGTTGACCGTTTAAAGCCATCGGATCTCAAATTCAATGCACGAAAATCATTCTCATTTTTCACAGTAAGCCATCTTTTAATTTGAACCAAAAACTATGTAAATACACACTCACATATGTACATTTATAGAGTCTGGATCAAATAAAAAAATATCTTCAAGTGTAAAATAAGAATTAATCTCAGCCGTCCAAAGAGTCAATATGATGCACAATAAACCTAATCTGATGCACTTTTCCAATAATTGCGAAAATGACATCGCCTCTAGATGTTGGAAAAGTGCATCAAATAAGGTTTATTAGAAAAGTGCATTAGATGAGGGTTATTGTGCATCACATTGACAGTTTGGGCGACTGAGACTAATTCTTATTTTACACGTTAAGGATCCTTTTTATTTGAACCCTTCCGTACATTTATATATACATATATAGGGTGCGGTTAAAATAAAGTGTTAAACGTGAGAAATGCGAAATCTTCACTTTTCCTTCGCTACAATGCACTTTTAGGTTCAAATGCAACATTTTTCGTAGAGGCAAAAACGTTCACTTATTTACGGAAATGTTACCGCGTTTTTAAGCCAATCTGCTGCATTGTTGGCACTTCTAGAGGTATCGTACCTCAAATGCAATTCTCGAAAATCATTAAAATTTCTAACATTTAGATACTTTTTATTTGATCCAAAATATAAATATATATATCATTACTAAATAAGTATATTTTCTTAATTCAAGACTTTCAAAAAAAATAACATATCACAATGTAGAGGTAACTTCTATAAATGACTGGCCCAAGGGAGGACAGTAAGATGATTATTATAAAGTTGGGGTTATTATTATATAGAGTATTCTTGTGAAGATGCTTCGCTGAATTTCAAATGCTTACCAGTATATCTTGTTTATCTGCTTTCACAGAATTTCCCTGTTGCAATTCTCGATATTTTGGCCCGGGTCTTAATCCAAGATCAGCAGCCTTTGCAGGGTCAAATTTACCCTTAATATCAGGTAATTCACATATATAAACCACAGAAAGATCACCAGGCTTCAGAGAAAACTCGGGTTCTGAAAAACACTTTGTTCCATCCTCAACAGTATCTGTTAAAACATTGATCCCTAATGAACCTTTTGAGTGTCTTGGTCTTAACAGAACAGATGATATTTTAACAACCTCATCATTAATATGAACGTTAGGTGTTGTGAAATCATCACCAAGTGCCGGTCCAAAGCTGTTTGTGTGAACCATTGCAGCATTTGGGATGAAAGACTTCATGGCCTCAACGAGATATTTAAGATCTGATGGGCCCCAAACATTGACCTTCGAAGAAACAGTTATAGAATCAACAACACATTGTGAGAAAAGTATACAGAGGTCTTACAAACAAGCTGCTAGAACACTTACAGATAGCCCTTGATTTTCTTCTCCCATGCCTGCTAGAGTCAACAAAAGGCCTGCAATTGGAAAAACAGACAGTTAACTGTTGTAGTAATTTTAGGCTATATATATTTGGAACAAAATGGTTTATTAAATTTTTGTTTTACCTTGAAAATATAAAAGAAAATCAAATTTGGTATGAAACTTTTTAAGAATCTCCAAGTGTTGAGATTTCTTAGTCCTTACATATTAGATATATATAAATAAAATGAGTCTGAAAAACTCCCAATACTGGTTTGGTGAGTTTGAGACTTTGATTCCTCTGAAATACCCGAATTGGGTGGAAGGGGTGAGATGAGGAGTGTGAAGGAGTCTATAGGTCTCCCAATTACCTCCCCTTACCCCTTAACGTCCCCAACCAAACACACAATACTCCTTAACTTTCCTTGATTTTCATACAACTAAACAAGGGCATAAGTCTATCAAGGTGGAAGCAAGAAACTCCACACGTGAAAAGTTAAAGCAAACCTGGAAGTCCACTAGCAGTTTCTGAGCAAACACGAGAGAGAAATATGTGATCAATCTACAAACATAATTGATATAAGTATCTTCAAAAATGATTTACTAGAAAAATCAAGCCTGAAAGCGCGATCCATCCCACTTACCTTTGATAACTTAACTTTATGCTCTGTACAAAATCGCTGCAATCCCTGAAAGAAGTATTAACAACATGAGGTCTATCTAGAATACTGCTTATTCATTATAAGCGAATTAGCTAACAAGAAAGTAGTGTTGAATGGGGGATGTGTGATGGGGGTGATTAGTCAATTTAGCCCCTCTTTCAAGAATTAAAAACCTTACCCTCAACTTCACAAGAGTTGCAAATGCATAGTCACCACAGGTCCACAACCATACAATTTGAGTTTAAAGAGCATCACTCAACTCAGAGCAGATGTGGAAGATCACATTTGGCGTCACTAATTTACAAAGAATAAGCTCTTTTACGTCTTTTATTCTAAAAAAGATTGTTCTTATTTTAAAAAAAGCACCACATTGTAGCTTTTATATAAAAAAACTTTAGTAATTAAAAGAGATAGTACTTCTACTGTGCTTATGAAAGCACTGTTAGCCTCATATATGCATTGGGAGCATAGAACAAGTTCAAGTATTAATCACTACATAAAATTTGCTTACTTCTCCAGCGTTAAATATAAATCTCTGCTTATCAAAGAATAGGAGAACCGATGGTGATGTGTCTTGTGTGTCCATACCAGTCCCAAGAATCTGCAAGACATAATTACAGGAGTGATAAAGGGCAGATCAATTTCCAAAATAATCAACTCAGCAACTAGGATTACTTACACATCAATAATTTGGTCACATTACTAAATAACCCCTGAAGTATTAAATAAATTGCAAATAAGTTACGGGGTACTTGATCAGTCAAATTATTCACAAAAGAGTGCAAAGACGCAGAGAGATGATAGGATATATAATGATATTAGTATGAATTGACTTTTCCTATTCTAAATTACCCTACGCACTGGTCTTGACTATAGAGGTTTCCTTAAATATAACTTGAATAAAAGTGATGAACAAAAATATTACTTAAGTTACCAATATTATATCATCATAGTCACTACTCACTACAATATAAATTTGAACATCATCATGGTCACTAAAGTATAAAAAGTCACATTTTGTCTTTTAACTTAATTTTAGTCATATATTTGTCATTATATTTTGACTATACTATTCAATAGAAAGTTTTAAACACCTTAGCTGATAAATACATTAATAACACCAAATTCCATGTGAAAGGCACATTTGATCCTAATACCAGTATATACTATTGTAAAACTTGCAATCTCTAAGTGTTGAGAAGTATGTTCACAGAAAAACTGACAGGTCAAAGGACTTCTTTGTAATGTCAGAGACCTCCAGATTGATTGGTGATTTCACCTGACCTTAGGAAAGGTAGAATGGTAGATTTCAATTACCCTAACAACTACTCTAAATTAGGTAAGCATATATGGAAATTGCAGCATAAGCATGAATTATCTATAATTATAGAATTGCTATGGCCTATGCATCAATAAGAACTGGAAATGTAAGAGTGAATAATAAAAAATACCAACTCATAATTGAATAGACATCAATAAGATTTACCTGAATGTAAGAAATGGTATTAACAGGATTGAGTTTTCGGACTTTACGCTGAAGGTTCTTCTTAGGCTTATCACTGTTATCATTACCTTCTGCCCTTCTTTTATTGAAGCCAACATACTCTGACCCACAGCTACTACCTTCCATTTTCTCTGGCATGGAACTGCTATGCCTACTGCCACTGCTCAAAGTATTGGGGTTGTTCTTGCTGTTGTTTCTGTTGTACCTTAGCTTACTTGAATATGAAGAGAATATGGCAAACAGAAAATGATTATGGGATATTTTGGGTGATTTAAGCTTGATGAGAGGACATAGAAGGTGGTGGTGGTTCACGGTGGATGAGAGGAGGCGAAGACTTGTGATTTGGTGCATTTAGCTCTCATCTATCGAGAAACAATAAAATGTGTCATATGCAGAAAACCATTAATCGCTGGGGGAAAAGAAACACCAACTTCCACAACTTTTTCAAAAAAAAAAAATTAACTACTCCATATAAGACTGTTCAAGAAACGATAAGAATTACAGAAAGTGAGAACACTAAAAGGTAAAATGGAGTATACAGAAACTTAAACAGAAAAAAAAAAACTAGAACAAAAAGAAAACTAGAACACAATATTAAACAAAGCAGAAATTTAATCGAACTTACTTGGCTAGACGGCTGGGTCGTAGTCCTAGTGAGTCGCTGCCTTCGCTGGTGCAGTGGTCTGCAGGTGTTTTTACCAGCACGGAAATCCGATTTGTTTGATCTAGGGTTGCACAAAAAAAAATAACCGGAACCAGCATAACACGACCTTACCTTATTCGACCATTTTTAATAGGATATGTGATTTTAAAAGGTAGGTTGAGAATAGGAGGTATATAATACCCTTAGTATATTATAAGGGCGTAGAAATATGATTGGACCGGATATCACTTCCAGTCACATATAAAATACACTTTCTTAAAAGTTTAGTATCTACTCTAATCATAATAATCGGTTTACATGATAGAACTTTTGGAATAAAAAGAAGGTATCCAAATGTATGTTAGTTATTGATAAAATAACACCTTTTTGCAAATAAATAACTTAATTATTATTAATGAAGATCACAAGAAACATTACAATCATAAAGCTCAAGGCTACAATGGGCGATTCTAATCGAAAACGCCGAATCATTAATCCCGCAAAGAAGTAGACTCAACCTGCAGATTGACTGCTCCTGCTACGATCACAGTAATTATCAAAAAGACTCTTAAACATCCCGGTTTCTCTAGTCACCGGTAATGAGCCAACTGTAGAATTTGTTCCGGTTTCACCGGCCACCGAAAAGAAAGCAATCCAAATGATCTTGTTTTCCTAGAACGGCGGTGGTTCAGGAGGGGGCGATTCGTCTCAATATCGGTGCAGAAGAAAATCATGTTTTTGATTGATGAAGAGATCGGTGCAAATCTCTTCTTAAGCACACAAGAACGCCCGACCGAAAGTAGCGGGGAATATGGATCTGGCAGATGATATTTCGCTGCCGAAAATAATACCTCCAAACAACGTTGGGAAAGAAACAGATGAATAAAACTGAAAACACTTATAAAGAAGATGTTTTTCTATTATTGAAATCAAAGAAGATTGAAAGAAGAGAAGAAAAGAAGAGAAAAATAGGAGGAGGCAGCTAGGGTTTCGCCATGCCATTGCCCCTCCTCTCTCAAACTCCGTATGTTGATAAAATAACACTTAACGAGTGATTTGAATATAAAGTGATCTAAACACTTTATTACTAATACTTCAGATAAGAGTGATAGAGTAAAGCAATTAGAGAAGATTGACAAAATGAATTTTTGTCGTCAATCTCTAATTCACATGGTCTTGATATCAATGAAGAGTTATAAGTCTCCAAATTGATATTAAAAGGTCTGGCTATTTCAAACGAACATGTACATTCGTTAAAAGAATTTCCATTTAATATATTTATAAAAACACACCTGCAAACTAAATCAGCCACAAATTAAAAACTCATGTAATATGTAATATTATTATTATGAGGCCACGGTATCACGTGCCACAAATTGTAATAACCATTACAATTTATAAATTCCTTTTGCAACAAAAATATTAATAGACCATGTAAAATAATAATTGAGCTTTATTTTTCAATAAATTTCCAACAATACAATCTAAAAGTTTACTACTCTGAAAATATGGCCGCTACTCAACGTGATATCATCAACACCAATTTTCAAAAATTGGAAAAGTTTGAAGGTGTGGAGTTTCGAAGGTGGCGGAAAAAGATGAATTTTCTACTCACTACTTTGAAAGTGGTCTATGTGTTAAGCACCCCGAGGCCGCCCGAGGAAAAAGAAAACGAGTCTTTGGAGACAAGCTGCCACCGCATAAAGTGGGATAATGACGACTACATTTGTCGTGGGCACATTTTGAACGGTGTGTGTGATTCTCTATTTGATGTGTATCAAAATGTAGAGTATGCTAAAACGTTGTGGGAATCTCTAGAGTCTAAATATATGACCGAGGATGCTTCAAGTAAGAAATTTCTCGTTAGTAACTTTAATAGTTACAAAATGGTGGATTCCCGTCCGGTCATGGAGCAATTTCATGAGATTAAGCGTTTATATGATCAACTTTTGATTCATAACATGCATGTTAATGAAACCTTTGAGGTCGGTTCTATAATCGACAAATTACCACCTTCATGGAAGGACGTGAAAAATAGTCTCAAACGCAAAAAGAACAACCTTCCAATTTCCTCTATTTATATTATGGAGGAGGGACGGTCAAGTGGGACTAAGAAAAATAAAAAAACGTCCCGGAAAATTCACTAAAGGTTCCAAGTTTCAAAAGAAGCTGAAAGATAAGAAAGTAGGCTCTTGTTGGGAATGTGGCGGTCCACATTTCAAGAGGGACTGCCCGAAGGTGAAGAAGAAGAAGAAGGCCCAACAGAACGGCCATCGAAACGGTGGCCAAGACAACCAAGGATGATGAATCTTGGTGGATCGACACCGGAGCAACAAGGCATGTATGTAAAGATAGGCAAGCTTTTAAGACTTTAAAAGAGTTGCAAGAGGGGCCGATCTTATACATGGGAAATGACTCTACTGTGCAAATTCAAGGAATTGGGCAAGTAGAGTTGGAATTAACTTCCGGAAAGAAATTAATTCTTAATGATGTGTACTTTGTACCACAAATCCGGAAAAATCTTGTCTCCGGTGGCATCCTAAATAACTTTGGGTTCAAACTTAGCTTTGAAGCAAATAAGTTTATTTTATCTAAGGGTGGTGTATTTGTTGTCCAAGGTTTCTTTTGTAATGGCATGTTCAAACTAAGTGTTGTAAATAAAGTTGTTAATTCTGTTTATATGGTTTGTGATTCTTCTTTGTGGCACAATAGGTTATGTCATGTTAATTATCGTAGACTAAGTGACATGTCTAAAGTAGGTTTAATTCCTCCTATTAATGTGAGCATAGAAAAATGTAGAACTTGCATGTTAAACAAAATCACTAGAAACTCTTTTCAAAATGTTGAAAGAAAATCCAACATGCTTGAATTAGTGCATAGTGATTTGTGTGATTTCCATAGCACTCTTTCTTTTGGAAATAAAAAATATGTAGTCACATTTATTGAAGATTGCACGAGATATTGTTATATATATCTTTTATTTTCAAAAGATGAGGCAATAGGATAAATTTAAAGTTTTTAAAACGGAAGTTGAGTTACAAACCGGAAAGAAAGTTAAAAGGCTTAGAACTGACAAAGTGGAGAATATTATGAGCCTAAACTTTTTGAATCCGTTGGAATAATCCATGAAACAACAGGCCCTTACATGCTGCAACAAAACAGCATAGCTAAACGAAAGAACAGAACTTTAAAAGAAATGGTTAATTCCATGTTGTCAAATTCAGGATTAAGTAATGGATTTCGGGGTGATGCTATGTTAACTGCTTGTTATATTCTAAACCCAGTTCCTAACAAAAGAAATAAAATAACCCCACATGAACTTTGGCACAAGAGAACACCCCAACTAAGTTATCTTAGGGTATGGGGTTGTAGGGCAATCGTGAGATTACCGGAAGCTAAACGAAAAATGTTAGGTGAAAAGGGGGTAGAATGCATATTTATTGGATATGCTGAACATAGTAAATCATATCGATTCTATGTTATTGAACCGAATGAATCAATTGCAGTTCATACTATTATTGAGTCTAGGGATGCTCTTTTCGATGAGAAGCAGTTCACTTCTATTCCTTGGCCAAAGGATGTTGTTATCAGTCCAAGTAATTCAAATTTTCATGAACTGGAAAAGGATCATGAAAATGAGCCTGAAATCAGATGGAGTAAGAGGGCTAGAAAAGAAAAGTCATTTGGTCCCGATTTCCAATTATATTTGGTTGAAGGATCAAGAGAGACTCTCGTAACTCAAACACTATATTTTTATAGTGTTGAGGAGGATCCTAACTCTTTTGAGGACGCAATGAAATCTCAAGATGCTTCCTTCTGGAAAGAGGCCATGAACGATGAAATAGATTCAGTCATGGGCAATAATACTTGGGTTCTAAGTGATTTACCACCCGGTTGCACACCAATCAGTTGTAAATGGATTTTCAAGAAGAAAATGAGAGTAGATGGTACCATTGACAAGTTTAAAGCTAGATTGGTTGCACAAGGCTATAAACAAAAGTATGGTATTGATTGCTTTGATACATATGCACCGGTAGCCAGAATAACTACCATAAGACTGTTAATTGCGTTATCAGCCATTCACAATCTCGTGATTCACCAAATGGATGTCAAAACTGCATTCTTAAACCTTCACAATCCAGATGGATTTTAAGAATCAAGAATAATATTGAGGAACCTTCTCTTGAGGGGTTTAGATTTTGGTACATATGGAAGGGTATTTGGTTTTTCCGTTTAGGGCTAGTAAACGAGATTCAAGCTTGGGAAATGGTGGAATTTATCCTACAGATATAACTTTCATAATAATGAAGGCATAAGTGATAAACCTACAACTTGTGATGTTTTTATGTCTTTGAACAAATGTAGTGTTAAATTTACAAATCAAAAGATGCATTTTAAGTACATGGTCATTATCACTTATGCCTTCATTATTTGATTTGGACTATTTGCTTATTTGGGTTGAACTATCAGCTAATTTAGGGTTTATGTTAGGAATAGTGTACGAAAACTACACGTGTATTTCTTTGTAAAAGCAATGTAACTGCTTTCTATTAGGCTTCGGTTATGCTAGCTATGACTACAGCTTGTATAAATACTCTGTAATATCTGATTCTAATCAAGATGATTTCATTTCTGCTTCTACCTTGCTCCAATTCTAATATGGTATCAGAGCATTGCTCGATCTAACCATGATGAACTCTGCGTCTGATTCCTCTTCTTCTTCGCAATCATCTTCTCACATTGCTAATCAATCTTCGCCTATCATTTTTCATCATCCTCTACCTATTAAACTCGATTCAAACAATTTTCTGTTCTGGCGCCATCATGTTGAATCAGTGATTCGAGCTCATAAACTTCTCAAAGTCATAGAAAATCCTCAGATACCAGATCGTTTTCAGTTGATGAGAATGGAGCAAAAATAGCTAATGAAGCATACAACAGCTGGGAGCAACAAGACCAAATATTGTTTTCCTGGCTCTTAGCTTCGCTTTCAGAATCACTCTTAGCTAATGAAGCATACAATGAAGCATTCGTTGTGTTGATTCTAACTATGCAAATGATAGAGATAACAGGAAGTCGACCACTTCTTATGTTTTTACTTTGTGTGGCTCTTGCATTAGTTGGAAGTCTCAACTACAGCTTATTGTGGCCCTTTCTACCACTGAGTCCGAGTATGTTGCAGCCACAGAAGCGTTTAAGGAAGCCATCTGGCTCAAACGCCTTGTCTCCGAAATTGGGTTTCTCAAAAAGGGAGTTACCATTTTCTCGGATAGCCAATCGGCTATCCAACTTTGCAAAAATCCTGTATTTCATGATAGAACTAAGCATATTGATGTTAGGTTCCATTTCATACGTGATATTGTTGATGCAGGTGGAGTCAAGCTGTGCAAGATCCCGTCAGAGTTTAACCCTGCGGATATGGGTACCAAGTGTCTTTCTGCTGAGAAGCACTTGTCCTGTAAACGCATGTTAAACTTTGACTGTGGATAACTGTGGGTTGCGTAATAAAGTGTTTGCCCGTTTTATCTGTTGATATTCCGGGTGACCCGGCGATGATGAGTCTCCTCACAACCTGTTTTGCTACTCTACACCACCTAGGACCAATAAGGTGGAGAATGTTGGAGGTATTGGTCCTACCAAGGCCTCCCTTCCACTTTATTATTAAGGCTTGCACCCCATGTTTACTCCCACTTTGATTCCCTTAGTTGAAATCACTCATTGGTGCCTGTTGACTTACAATATGTGAGCCCCCTTTTTTTTGTTGTTGTCCGCTGCACCTCCTGTCTGGCAGCCTGTGACACCCTGTTGATAAGCCTCACCTCTGACTTTCCTTGGCAGCCTATTTGTAGTCCTTTTGTTTGCCCCTTTGAGATAAGCCTGCGTAAATAATCCCAGAGAGCAGTGTCTTCCTTCTTCCTTTCCTTGTGTGAGAGTTCCTTTGTGGAGTGAAGAAGAGTGAGTAAACATGGGAGATGTTGTGGCCTAGCCCTAGAGGGTGTCTGTGAGTTTAGTCTAGAGTGGTTGGAGACCTGAACCGGAGACGGATACGATCCTAACAGAATACCAATCTAAATTGCGGATAACTGTTGGATAATGATGATATAACACAAAATATACAATCATTTTCCAGCTTTGTATGACTTGTGGTCCGAGTGCCTGACCCTTGGACTGGTCTTTTTTGTCGTGCCATCAAAATTGAACCCTAAAATATGAGCTCGTGACTGTGGGGACCACAGTTAGCTAGAGCCCGTGAACCCCATGATTTGTAAAAAAAAAACTGACACCCCATCCCTGAGGGTTGAAGGCCTCCAACCCCGACCAGATAGTACATGTAAATTGAACTATAATCTTAATCTGACCGATAGAGTAGAGTTCTATCCCCGGTACTTGCAAAGACCCTATGCATTTTTAGCATAGTAACCTCCTCTCATCGCAATTGTCGGGATTCGGACCAGAAACCTAACCCTTGTGACACTCTCGGTAAACCCCAACGGGGTTACCCCATGATTTGTGTCATTTGAACGTGTCATCAATAAATCATTCCAGATTGTGCACGTGTTGTGTGCTCCAGGATGGACCCGGGCTGGTCCGGTTCCGGTTCCGAGCCAGGCCCGAGCGGGCTTTTTTCCATTTACTTGGGTCCAGAACCGGCCCGAGTAGATACGGCATCCAGGCCTAACCAAGCCGAGCCCGATTCAATGTTTAATTTTTTTTTGGCTTTCTTGTTATCCCCCAACCCCCTCCCCCAAACAGGGATGGACCGGTTCCGGTTCGGGCCTGGGCCCGGCCGGGCCTCGATTCATGAAGGGGGAGGCCCAGAACCGGCCCGGGTAACCCCTAGGTCCAGGCCGGACCTCGATTCTATTTTTTTTTTTTTGGCTTTTCCTAGTTAACCCCCAAGGCCACAACCCTCCCCCTCACCCCCAAACCAACCCTAACCACCTCAAATGGCCCAAAATACCCAGCCCAACCCAAAAACTTAAAAAAAAATCAAAAAAATAATAATAATAAATTGGTCCGGCCAAGGCCCGAACTGGCCGGGCCGGTTCACCTTTTGAAGGGCCCGAGCCCGAACTGCCATCCCACCGGGCCGGGTGGCTCAAACCGAGCAACCAACCGATTCACCGGGCCGGTCCGAGCCCGCACAGTAGCGGGCCGGTCCGGTTCCGGGCCGGTTGGCCCGACGCCCCGGCCCGAGTCCACTCCTACCCCCAAACCTCCCCAAAACACCGAGCCCTACCCTAGGAAAAGAAAACAAATTGAAAAAAAAGGCCCAAAAACAACCCGAACCGGCCGGTCCGGTTCAACAAATGGGGGCTCGTAACCGGCCCATCAGACCCGCCCAACCCGGGCTAAAGCCCGTAACCAGCCATCCAGGTCCGGTTCGGGTCCGTACAGTAACGGGCCGGGCCAATTCCGGTCTGGTTGGGCCCGGTTGGGTCCATGCCTACGTGTGCTCATGGTGCTATAGCTAAGAAAAGGACTTTTTTATTCGTAAAAAATAAAAAAGAACTTTTATTCGATCAAGTAAAAAAACAGGTAACGCTGAACAAATAATAATAATAATAATGTTATACTAGTAATACGCAAGAATATCCTTGTGTTTTTTAATGAGGTGGCCTAACTTCAGGTTAAGCCATTAGCTAAAAACACCCCATTTGCTAAAAACCATTAATAAAATTAAATGCAAACAAAACTTCTGCTTTATAATTAAGAATAAATTTACATTAAACTAAAACATGCTTCTCAAGCAATTGCAGCAGCATCTGCGAGATTGGCGGCAGCATCATCTTCGGCAACGAGCTCATCGCGAAAGAGGAGCTTAAGGTATGGCAGGACTGTCGGAACCACGGGCAGATCTGCTGCATTTATACTCATCAGATCAAAAGCAATGCAGGTTTTATGCATGTGGGATTCGTCAAACACCGGAATCTTGGGGTATCTTTGGCTGAAGTGTGTAAGGATTACGCGATATGCTCCGGCAGTGTCCCCGGTCTCAACCGCTTCCTTTGTTGTGCTGTGGTTTCTTGCTATGGCCTCTTCCAGCATCCCATCTTCAAATGTAGCCTGCACCAACCAACAACACTAAATGTGATTCTTGTTGTGCATCCAAAGAAGTGGTTTCTTGTTTATATTTGTTGTTCACTGCGGAATGGAAGGGAAGAAAACTTCTGGGGAAGGGGAAAAAACTAGAACTGAATAAAATCGATTTGCTATCTGTTCAAACTCTTTTTTATTTATTCATTTCTACTATCTAAAGATTTAGAATTCTATATATACATTTATTACAATTTAAAAATATTAATTGTAATTCCTTCTGAAATTTTATCAATTCTTTCTGAGACTTTATTAATCCAAGACCTGAAAGACAGGTTAACTATAAATTAGAGACTAGAAAGATGAAAACTGTAAATATAGGACCCGAACGATTGAAAATATCAAACACCTTAAATACCATGGATTTTATTTTTTTTATTTCAGATAATTTAAATATTTTAAATGTTATTTAATTTTATTAAACTAAAACTTATGTGACGAAAAAATTATCAAAAAATAGCATTAGATTAAATAAAAACTAAAGAGATCAAAACCTACTTAGTATAATATTTTAGGGCTTAGATTGATAACTATCAATCATTCGGACCATATATTGACAATTTTAATTTTACATGTCCCTGATTGATAGTCAAGTAAGTCAACTGTCTTTGAGGTCCTAGGTTATAAACAAATCTTTATGATAAGAGATGCATGAAAATAGGAAAAAACAGCTTACCTCGTGAATAAGAACTGTTGCTCCACGAGAAGCTTCAATTAGATCAGGACAGGGCCTAGTATCGCCGGAGTAAACAATCTTCCATCCCGGTATCCTTTTCCCAACGCTAATAGTTCTTTCGGCAGCTCTAAGTACAACTCCATAAGCTAGTGGGCAATGTATAACGGGAAAACTAATCAACCCTTCTAGTCCCGCTTCGCTTAAGACTTCATTAAGGTTTCTTAATATTGGGAATGTCAAGGAAGAGTCAACCGGACTGCCCGGCCGCTTCCAATAACTCTGCATCGGACTCCCTTTCACAAAAAGACTAGAATCAACCCCTCCCTGATTTAACTCGCCAGTTGCATTGCCATTCTGCACATTCTCTTCTAGTCCGTTTGGAACTTGGGAAATACTGGGGAAAACAAAACAGAACAATACAGAAAGGTAAAAATATAGAAGAAAGAAAATACAGAGCAGTGGGGGAGGAAATGCTATAATATTGTTCTTAGTTTCTTTGTTCTTGTTTGAATGATGTAAGGCTAAGGAGAGAATGAAAGACAGATGAAAAGAAGCAATTTAGTTAGCTTTCTCAGCAAATTAGAGAGATTAGGTTTGGTGGAAAATAAACATTAAATTTCCTTTTTCTCCATAATTCTTTTGCATTTTTCAAGGTAAACATAAACATAAAAAATCACTTCTCTTAGCATGAATTTTTCCCTAGCATCTTTCATGATCCAAACGTACCCATTGTGTGACTCAAAAGCCTTCAGTGAAGATTCTGTGGTATTCCTGCAATCAAGGAATTGCATATCTAGGTCCTCAAGGCGTTGATATGCATCAAGAAATCTCTTGAGCTGTCTAGGGCCAATGACAATCAAAGGCTTGTGAGGAACATCTTTTAGCAAATTACGTCTAAGAGCAAGTATTCTTGCAAGACCAGTATGATGATCAGCATGTATATGAGAAATCCAGATACACCTCAAACTTTTCACAGCTTCGTCAGCACCTTCAATACCATACCTTCCTTGCAAAACTTTGCACTGTTAGGTGAGGAGATGAAAACGAAAAGTAAAAGCCCATATTAACTCTCGTTTTCCAAAGAAAAATATTGTCATAAAATCTTTTAAAAACAAATAGATATGGTACAACAAATGTGGAAAGAGAATTAAAAGGTATCAACTTTACAGTTGAATCATTCTGTTGCATCACTTTTATGTTGTTTTTAACAGTTTGTTTATGCTCCATTTTGTTTGAAAAAATAAAATTAGATGGTCTCTTAGTTTATCAGTGCATGTGTGTCAGCATGTAGTCCTGCACGCAAGCATGCGTGGGTGGGTGAATGGGTGTACACACACGAATTGTCTGGAATAAGTACCTTCGTTTAAGTTGCCCTAGTGTCCCTTCACCGCAATCCAGGAGAATACCTCCCTTCGAGAAGAGATTAATGAAGATAGAACTAACATTGCGGTATTTTGAAGGCTGGGACGACCCTGTCCCAAGAAGAACAATCTCCATGTCATCTCTCTTTATGCCTTCCAAACATGGTTCTTCATTGACATCTCTGTTCCCCCCTCCATGCCACAACTGGGTGATGTGCTGAGAAGCATTTTCAATCTCAGGGATTTCTGATATTAACTCACTGATTATTTCAGGTGGAGATGTAAGATTTGGCACACAAGACCTATCTAATCCAAGTTGGGAGTAAGGCCGCAGATGGAACTGTTCCACAATAAATACCATATCAGCCATAAGTCAAGACATAATTACAACTCATGATTTTGCTTCTTTTTTCGAGATAGTAAATCTATGCAACACATCGAAGTTTTTAAAATTCTTAAATATGCATTTAAAATTGTACATTCCTATCCCATTAAAAGCACCCTGAAAGACATGTCAGCTAGCAAATGAGATGCTAAAAGATCAATTTAGTAGCTAAATGATTGAAATGTGAGAATATGCTCTTGGATTGATAGTTCAATCATTAAGGTCCTAAATTGATACTTATCATCTTTCATGTCTTGAATTGATATTGACCTACCCTTTGGGTATTAGTCATAGATTGTGAAGTAACTTTTCCAAAATCAATTGTACCAAACAAGTTCAATATTTTAAACCTAGTTAAGCCAAGCAAAAACTTACAAATATAGCTACGATTAATGTTCATAAGGATGTATTTTACTAAAACTATAAAAGTTATACTGTGGTGGAATGTGTACTTTTTTATGACAAGGCACAAGGGTAGTGATAGAGTATATAGGCCTGGACCTACAGCCCACATGCTCACAAGATATTGGGATAGGCCCAACAGCTAGCCAGTTACCACCTCGGATGAGCCACTCAGCCCGCCAAAGGTACTTCCAGCAGACAAAGCCAAGTCATTTGCAAGAAGCAAGGTCACTTTCAACTACCAACCCCTCGTCCGCAACCCCCAGCCAGCCGAGGGGCCTATCACCTGCCGAAGGCCGAATCCAAACACCAGTTGATTCTACCACAGACACACAGACAAGAGTACATACCCCTTGGCCATCACGGTCCGGATATCAGTGGCTGCCATATTTTTATATTTTACGGGGCTTCGCTCATAGACTAGCATACAAGTGAACTCGCATTTAATGCACTTAGCATTTAATATTACTATAAATAGTCCCATGTATTGCAAGATATATTTCTCTCTATATTTAGCTCTGTCTTCTCTCTAAAATACTACTAGTGGGTTCCGGTATAGCTATCAGGTGATATTACATTAGATTGTTGACTTTGAAATATAGTTTTCTGTGGCATTAATTTTTGGTAGAAAGCAATTGACAGATTGTGAACGTGCACGGTGCACAGTAGTGAACTCATCCACGGCAGCCAATACATACCTTGAGAAGATTCTCAGCAGAAATGATTCCATCAGCATGTGGCAAAGATCCCTGTAATAAATAAACATAAATCATTTCTCAGTCCACCAATGCTATGTATGGAACCTGGAAAATGGCAAGGAAAACGAATCTAAGAAAAAAACAATTATTATGTTTGGTTTACCAAGGAAATTTGAACGAAACCCTGTTTTGAATTTTTCTTAAATTAAAATTAACATTATACATCTCTTTATATAAAGAAATGTATAAATACAATAAGTCTGTTAATGAAAACTATAGTTGAACATATTGTACCTCGCTTGCAAAAATTGAGGATGGTGGCAACCCATTCAGTTGTTTTAGAGACCAAAAACCAGGGGCTGGAAATAACTGTGGACTTAGGTAGTTAAGTCGAGTTGCAACTCTTGCACTAGCTTTTAGAATTGGAATCTCAATATTCTTCCTACAAAGAGGACAATAATGAACTTGAATATTACATAAGCACCATTAACCACTCAATTGGTATCTTCAAGTGTATTTGAAAGAATTAAAAGGGGGGGTTAAACAAGATTTTCGTCCCTGGAAAAGTGGAAATACGCTGTTTTTTTTATCTATGTGTTTTCACATCCCATAATTTACAAGGATCTAAACGAAAAAGATAATTCAAAGCCCAAGCTCTGTGACTTGCATAAGCTTTTTTATTAAGTTCTTTAGTTTTAGGTTGGAGTGTGATATTTAATCCTTTTAAAAACTTAAAAAACTACATGGGTAGCCAGTTCTATACCATATAAGTTTGCAAAAAGGGATGTCCTCGGGAAGGGACTAAAGTAAATATCATAAAGACCTAAAACAAACATGATAGAGATCGATCCAAACAGTAAAAACAGTAGTATATTCAATCAAGGGAATTCTGAGAAATCCTCGGATATCCTTAGGAAATTACAAAGCAACGGAAGAAACGTAACAGAAGTATAGAGGCAAGTTCGAGAGTACCTATCTCTCCCAAGAGTCCCAGTTCCTATTCCCAATTTCTGCCTGCCTTATTCTACGCCCCAAGACATATTTATCATATTCCTTATGGGCAAGCCCACTGCTATTTAGTTAGAGGGCCTAAACATCTTTTATTATACACTATTAAAAGACACTATTATTCTTATTACTATCACTATCTAGGTCCCTATCAAAACACAATATAATCACAAAGGAGAATAACATATTTAAACAACAACGAAATAGGCAAGCAACTCACAGCTCATGCCCAGCCATGATATGTTGGGCCCCACCAAATCTTGACATCCATTGTTGATACATGGATGTAGTAGTTACCGTTGAAGGACTGAGGTGAACTACACAGTTTACAAGCTTGCAGTTTTCCTCAGAAATGGGTGATTTATTTGAATAATATGGTGCAAGAGATTCAATGGAATACAACTCCTCTAGGTGATACATGGTTGGGCAGTCAACAATGAGCACAATAGGACCAGGAACAGAAGGTCCCATCACATCACTCGGGTGAATCTGCATTATAGAATTGATAAACACATCTACGAAATGATTAGACCAAAAAATGAATTCATGTAAAAAAATAAATCTGGTATAATAACCTCTATATAAGAATAGTCTTAAGGAATTGTACCTTTTCCGACATGGGCCAATTAGTATATTACATTTGGGTTGTTATTAATAATGGGCTATTAATAATAATATTAAAGAGTAGTTTAAATAGGAGGAGAGGGAATAATAAGAGGTAGGCAGAATTTTAGTTGGAATTAGGACGGGAGACTCTAGAAGAGTCTCAATCCTGTTTCTTCTCTTTCTTTCTATTTCCGCCATTGTTGTTCGAGTAATCCTAATAATTCATCGGACTTCCTAATCAATATACTATTAACTTTCTGCTGCATTTGTTGAGTTCCTAACATTGGTATAAGAGGATCACTAGAGTGGAGAATGAGTTTTATGTGTTCGCAAATGGAAAAGAGCATTGAAAGTGTTGAACGTGATTTGGCAGGGATGAGAACTGCGGTGGAGGAGATGCACAACTTGTTGGTTCAACAACGTTGTAGGCAGTATGAAAGCCAGGGCTCATCTTCATCGCGAGCAGCTTCTCACAGTTCGCAAGCATCGTGGTTAGCCGATTCTCCCAGTTCGCAGGCGTCGTCGCTAGCCGATTATCCAGTGTCATCGCAAGCAGCTTCTCCCAGTTTGCAAGCTTTGCCGCGAGCAGATTTCCCCAGTTCATAGGCTCCGTCGCGAGCAGATTGTTCCAGTTCTCAGGCTTCGTCACGAGCAGAACCTCCCAGTTCGCAGGCTTCATCGTTCCATCAGGAGTCTGTTAGTTGGCACCACCTCCCTTTGAAGGTAGGAGTTCTTCAAGATCCAGAGAAAATGTAGATATGTTCACCAATGGCGACGATGAATGCGAGGAACAATCATCACTTGCCGTTGGACCTGAAGCGGGCACAAATGCTTGATTTCTCACTCATAATGCTTCCTCCAAATACGAGTTTGTCAAGACAGACTTGGAAACCAATCTGTTCAAGCTCATGGAACGCCGAGAGAAATTTGAATTGGTGGTAGCTTCTATGAGACTCACGGATTCTGAGATGTTCAGGGGCATTTTTGAGATTCGCGCTGAGTTGAAATAATTTCATTGCGGAAATCTGGCGGAGTTAAAGGCCCTGCTACTGCTTCTGGAAGGAAAAAAATCTGCTATTAAGGGAGGAAGACAGTTTGTACTCCTGTTCAAGTGGGATGCCAGCAGTATATATTACGGGAATCTGGCAGAGTCATGGTCTCTTCCCAGATGCCATAACCGTTGGTGAAGATGTTAGTGGGATGCCAGCACTTTGTATTCCTGTTCAAGCTGGAGGTGCAGGTTATGATTATCAGCTTCATATGGCAATTGCTGATAAATGGATCGAGATTCTCAAGAAAAGAGATGAGGATTGGGGGAATTGGGGTTGCTCCACAGCCTAAGTCTGGATTAGATCCTAGCTCCGAACTAAACTCAATGTATCATGTTGCACAACTTGTGAAGTGCAGAGTTGTCAGTTCTAACCCTGCATCAAGACAAATCAACCTCAGTTTTACGTCAAGACCCATGAGGTTATCCGCGAATGAATTAGTTAAACCAAGAAATGTCGTTTCCGGAACCATTGATCTAGTTACTTCTGATGCTCAAATTTGTTTGAAGGGAACGATTCTGCCAGAACATTTATAAGATCATCGTGACCTTGCTGGTTTAACGAATTCTATCTTGAAACCAGGTTTTGAGCTTGACCAACTTTTGGTTCTTGATGTTGAAGGTTGCAATTTGGTACTTTCTGCCAAGTACTCACTCATCAGCACATCTCAGCATGTTCCCCTGGATGTTAGTCAAATTTCCCTGCATTCGGTGGTGCATGGGTATATTTGTAACATAAATGGAAGTGGTTTGTTTGTTCGCTATCTAGGGAGTTTGGCTGGATTTTCTCCCAGAAGCAAGCCTACAGATGACAGGAGATCTGATACCTCTGAAGTATTCTACGTTGGACAATCAGTTCGTATGAACATACTTGATGTTAATGATGAATCTGGTCGACTAACAGTGTATTTGCAGCAGTCATAATGCTCTTCAACTGATGTTACATGTATTCAAGAATGATTTCTTTCAAAACACAAGATTGCCAAGCTTCTATCTTTGGACTCCTCAGATTCTGGACTGAGATGGGCTGATGAGTTTGATCTTGGTAGCATTGTTGAGGGAAAAGTTCATGAAATAACGGAGTTTGGTGCTGTTGTCACTTTTAAGAATCGTGGTGATGTTTTTGGATTTATTTCAGAATACGAGTTGTGCGGAATCAATGTGGATCTGGACTCTACCATCCAGGCTGCTGTAATTGATGTCTCCAAGATAGAGCTCCTCGTGGATTTATCTTTGAAACCAGAAATTGTTAATGGTATCAGAGCTGCTAGAAACTTGCTGGATATACTGAGCACTCTTTGTGAAGCTGTTCAATGAGCAGTCTATACCTGTATTTCTCTTCTGACGCAATCCAAACAGAAGGATGGGAATGCTCTTATCTCTAGGCTTCTAGATATATTAATGAGTGACAAAATGGTGGAGCACTATGTAACAATATCTTTACCTCTAATCATTCCTGCTGTGGAGGAAGTGATGATGAAGGCTCGAGGAAGTAATGATGCTCATGGTCCAGCAATCAGTACCAGGGAAGGGAGAGGCACAATGATAGGACTCTGGTAGAATAGCTCTGATAATAATAATAATAAATAAGAATAATAATAATAATAATATTAGAATAGTTAGTATAAATAGAGGGTGAGGGAGAATAGAAAGGAGGTTGGAATTGTTATTTGGGCTTGGGACTTGGAGAATAGAAAGGAGGTTGAAATTGTTATGCGGGATGGAAATGTTAGGTACCTGGCTGTTTCAAAGTGATTTCAAGAAGTAAAAGATGATAGAAGGAAGATGTGCGTAACAATGGAAGCTGTCGTATAACAGAAAACGTAGAGAGAGAAATACAAAGGCAGTTTAAGAGTGCCACTCTCCAAGTCCCAAGCCCAAATAACAATTCCAAACTCCTTTCTATTCTCCCTCAACCTCTATTTATACTAACTATTCTAATATTATTATTATTATTATTATTATTATTTATTATTATCAGAGCTATTCTACCGGAGTCCTATCATATCTCCCCCCTTGAACATCCACCTCGTCCTCAAGGTGGGTGATAGGAAACCGACTTGACCTTCAACTTTATCTTCATCCTGGCGCCTCTCCCTTCCCAGTACCTAACTGATTGTGGACCATGAACTTCATTGCCTGGAAAACACACTGATTGTTGGGATCTTTGTAATTGTTTTGAACTTTCTCTTCAATTTCCTTCTTTGGATGCACTGGCTGGCATAGTTCTATTAAGCGCAAAGCAAGTTCTTCCCTATTTTCACATGAGGTTTCACCTTCCCATTTCTCAGTATTTTGATGAATACCCAAAGATGCCTGGCAGCTTACAAACACCACAACCAATTTAGATCCTGCTGCCATGTACTGCCGGATGCATACTGGGGAATTGGCAAGCGAAGAGAGAACTGCACATTGATACCCAACAACACTTGGGAAAAAGGAAACTTCAGTGTTGGGTTCATTGATCAAGTATAATGTTGTTTTCTCAGGGCCAGAGCTAAGCCTGTAATAGTAAAATTGGCAAGATTCTTTACCAATAACAACACTCAAAGAATTAGTGGCAGAATCTAGAGCTGTTATTGCTGCACTAGTACTAAGTCTCTCCATGCCATTCACACTATTTCTACGAAGTGACATGTGAGCCATGTGAATTTTTCTTTCAACAATGCTACCCGGATCAAACTCATCATCTCATCTTAATCTGGAATCAAAGAAGTCCCGATATACAGAAAGTACCCATTTGCACCCTTCAACCCCAAGAATCAAAAACTGGTCATGACTTTCAACAATATCAACGCACCTCTCCATCCATCTCCTATTACTAATTGCTCTCAACATACTGTCACATTCTTGATCCTTATCTCTTTTCCTGAGAACGTTGAGTCGTGGACCAGCACTTGCCATATGAAATCTGTAATCAAAATCTAAACCTCTATCTTGAACAATTATACAAACTAATGGCAATCCCATAACCACTTCACCAACTTTAATGGCCTCAGAGGAACGACCAGGAGTGAGATCTTTAACAAACATCAGATACATGACAACTTCAACACCGGTAACATATCTCTCATATTCTGTAGTATTCACAGTAATTCCTCCTTCCAACCCATTTTGAGTATCCATCATAGAAGTAACACCCTCATATATGAAACTATCAAACTTGTTCAATGACTTCAGCCCTTCCAAAGTAATGTTTAATGAATGATAGTACACCATTTCAGACTTTAAAACATTAGGCCAGTTCATCTCCTGTACGAACCTAGAAGTCATCGTGGACTTTGCCACACAAGCATCAGTGTCACATGTGTGTAGAATCTTGAAAACATTGGTTCCCGAATCTGACTTGACAGACTTGTATTTGAGAAAATGAGCAATTGTGCCAACTTCCGATCCAATGTTCGCTGACAATTTCTCAGCGCTTCCCTCATCACCCTCAGTGACTTTCTCTGCCCTAGGCGATGAAGAATAAGCTCGCGAAGAAGTCTGAGAACTGGAAACATCTACTCCAGATGAAGCTTGCAAAAAAATTGAGTGCATCTGTTTGTGAGGAAGATGGTGAACAGTAAGAATCGACGGGTGATGAATATGAGTGGTAAAGATCGGCAAGTGAGGAATCCATCGAACTTGGAAATTCTCCTATCGATTGCGTCGCACTTTGACGGGAAATGAGAGCTGATGAAGGATTCTGGGAAAAATCTGCGAAGAAACCTGCGAACTGGGAGGAACTGTTCGCATCTGCGAACTGGAAGGAACTGTTAGCAACTGCGAACTGTCTTGTGCTTGCGACGACGCGGACGGACTGCGAGAAGAAGTTTGCGACCAATCCTGCGAACTCAAAGAAACGGTTCGCGACTGCGAACTGTCTTGTGCTTGCATAGTGATTTGTGTGATTTCCATAGCACTCTTTCTTTTGGAAATAAAAAATATGTAGTCACATTTATTGAAGATTGCACGAGATATTGTTATATATATCTTTTATTTTCAAAAGATGAGGCAATAGGATAAATTTAAAGTTTTTAAAACGGAAGTTGAGTTACAAACCGGAAAGAAAGTTAAAAGGCTTAGAACTGACAAAGTGGAGAATATTATGAGCCTAAACTTTTTGAATCCGTTGGAATAATCCATGAAACAACAGGCCCTTACATGCTGCAACAAAACAGCATAGCTAAACGAAAGAACAGAACTTTAAAAGAAATGGTTAATTCCATGTTGTCAAATTCAGGATTAAGTAATGGATTTCGGGGTGATGCTATGTTAACTGCTTGTTATATTCTAAACCCAGTTCCTAACAAAAGAAATAAAATAACCCCACATGAACTTTGGCACAAGAGAACACCCCAACTAAGTTATCTTAGGGTATGGGGTTGTAGGGCAATCGTGAGATTACCGGAAGCTAAACGAAAAATGTTAGGTGAAAAGGGGGTAGAATGCATATTTATTGGATATGCTGAACATAGTAAATCATATCGATTCTATGTTATTGAACCGAATGAATCAATTGCAGTTCATACTATTATTGAGTCTAGGGATGCTCTTTTCGATGAGAAGCAGTTCACTTCTATTCCTTGGCCAAAGGATGTTGTTATCAGTCCAAGTAATTCAAATTTTCATGAACTGGAAAAGGATCATGAAAATGAGCCTGAAATCAGATGGAGTAAGAGGGCTAGAAAAGAAAAGTCATTTGGTCCCGATTTCCAATTATATTTGGTTGAAGGATCAAGAGAGACTCTCGTAACTCAAACACTATATTTTTATAGTGTTGAGGAGGATCCTAACTCTTTTGAGGACGCAATGAAATCTCAAGATGCTTCCTTCTGGAAAGAGGCCATGAACGATGAAATAGATTCAGTCATGGGCAATAATACTTGGGTTCTAAGTGATTTACCACCCGGTTGCACACCAATCAGTTGTAAATGGATTTTCAAGAAGAAAATGAGAGTAGATGGTACCATTGACAAGTTTAAAGCTAGATTGGTTGCACAAGGCTATAAACAAAAGTATGGTATTGATTGCTTTGATACATATGCACCGGTAGCCAGAATAACTACCATAAGACTGTTAATTGCGTTATCAGCCATTCACAATCTCGTGATTCACCAAATGGATGTCAAAACTGCATTCTTAAACCTTCACAATCCAGATGGATTTTAAGAATCAAGAATAATATTGAGGAACCTTCTCTTGAGGGGTTTAGATTTTGGTACATATGGAAGGGTATTTGGTTTTTCCGTTTAGGGCTAGTAAACGAGATTCAAGCTTGGGAAATGGTGGAATTTATCCTACAGATATAACTTTCATAATAATGAAGGCATAAGTGATAAACCTACAACTTGTGATGTTTTTATGTCTTTGAACAAATGTAGTGTTAAATTTACAAATCAAAAGATGCATTTTAAGTACATGGTCATTATCACTTATGCCTTCATTATTTGATTTGGACTATTTGCTTATTTGGGTTGAACTATCAGCTAATTTAGGGTTTATGTTAGGAATAGTGTACGAAAACTACACGTGTATTTCTTTGTAAAAGCAATGTAACTGCTTTCTATTAGGCTTCGGTTATGCTAGCTATGACTACAGCTTGTATAAATACTCTGTAATATCTGATTCTAATCAAGATGATTTCATTTCTGCTTCTACCTTGCTCCAATTCTAATATGGTATCAGAGCATTGCTCGATCTAACCATGATGAACTCTGCGTCTGATTCCTCTTCTTCTTCGCAATCATCTTCTCACATTGCTAATCAATCTTCGCCTATCATTTTTCATCATCCTCTACCTATTAAACTCGATTCAAACAATTTTCTGTTCTGGCGCCATCATGTTGAATCAGTGATTCGAGCTCATAAACTTCTCAAAGTCATAGAAAATCCTCAGATACCAGATCGTTTTCAGTTGATGAGAATGGAGCAAAAATAGCTAATGAAGCATACAACAGCTGGGAGCAACAAGACCAAATATTGTTTTCCTGGCTCTTAGCTTCGCTTTCAGAATCACTTCATGCTCGTGTCATCTGCTGCAAGCATTCGCATGAGTTATGGAGTGAAATTCAGAATTTCTTCCGCTCCAGTATCATCGCGCGAGCTCGTCAACTGAAATCGGAACTGTATAACACCGGGAAAGGTGATCGTTTTATTTCTGAATATTTGCTTCGTATCCAGACAATTGTGGATAACCTAACGTCTGTCGGTGAGCCTATATCAACCAAGGATCACATCAATGTGATCCTTGAAGGTCTTCCTGAGGATTACGAGTCACTTATATCACCTGTCACCTCGCGAAGTATCTTAGATCCTATTACTATATCTGAACTTGAAGGTCTCTTGTTAGCGAAGGAATTGCGACTGAAGAAACTTCGTGAGTCCTCATAACAAACAATATTTGCTGCTAATGTTGCTCAACTTGAATCTTCCTCTCAAAATACTGAAACTGAAACTCAGGACACTTCGGAAAATGCTTCAGCTCAAGTTGTTCAGTTTGATACTTCTGCTCAGTTTGATACCTTTAATGTCAATTCCTCCTACAGAGGTAGAGGTCGTGGAGGTTTCAATAGGGGCAGAGGTGGTCGTTCAGGTGGTAGAAGCTCAGTTACTTGTTAAGTTTGTGGTAAAAATGGTCACATTGCACTCGTTTGTTACCACAGATACAATCCAGCTTATACTATTACTAATCCTTCTCCTATGCAACAACAATTTTCATATCCTATGCAACAACCTCCACCTTCATATCCTTACTCAAATCAACTTCACCAGCCTCAATACCAACCAAATCAATACCAACCTCCACCTTCACATCCCTATTCAAATCAATACCAACTATCTCCTCCAAATACAACAAGATATTCACCCAACCACCCACCTTATCCCTATCCACAACAAAGTAATCATCCCTCACAACTCAATTCATCCCCTACTGTACCAACTGCAGCCTGGGCTTCTGCAAACTCTTCTATACTAGGACCACCCCCAAATTCTCAGAACTGGTTCCCAGACTCTGGAGCTACACACCATGTCACAGCTGATCCCCTTAGTCTCCAACACAGTGAGCCAATTGCTACCACTGATAAGCTGTTTATGGGCAATGGTCAAGGTTTGGAAATTAAGTCTATTGGTTTTTCATCCTTTCCCTCACCCTATCAATCATCTCTTTCTTTATCTTTCAATAACATCTTACATGTTCTTGCTATAACCAAAAATCTATTAAGTGTCGGCCATTTTGCCAAGGAAAACAATGCATTTTTTGAATTTCATCCTCATGAATGTTTTGTTAAATCCCAGGTTTCTAAACAGGTTCTGCTGTATGGAATACTTGGTGAAGATGGTCTTTAAAAGTTTCAATACTTTCCAGCTCTTGGGTCTCACAACTCTACTTCAAATTTGTCCAAGTTCCATTCCCATAAATCTGTGTTTCCTAGTTCTCTTGTATCTACTTGTAATAACTCTCAGTCAGACTCCAGTTGTAATATTTGGCATTTAAGACTCGGTCATCCTCATTTTGAGGCCCTTAAGTCTGTACTGAAACTTTGTAATCTTCCATATATCAATAAAAATGCTATTGACTTTTGTTCTGCATGTTGTTTGGGTAAAGCTCACAGACTGCCCTCTTACCCATCTACAACTGTTTTTCATTCTCCTTTTGAACTGATTTATACTGACTTATAGGGGCCAGCTCCTATTCAGTCCTTTGATGGCTACACTTACTATATATCCTTTATTGATGCATTCACCAAATATACCTGGATCTACTTTCTCAAAAAGAAATCAGATGCCTTCTTAGCTTTTCAAAACTTCCATCAATACATCCTAAATCAGTTTAACATCTCCATTAAGTCAATCCAATCTGATTGGGGAGGAAAATTCAGATCATTCACAAAGTTTCTTACTGAAAAAGGTATTAATCATAGAGTTATTTGTCCTCATACACACCATCAAAATGATGTTGTTGAGAGGAAACATCGCACCATTGTTGAGAAAGGTCTATGTCTCCTAGCACATTCTTCTTTGCCTTTCAAATTCTGGGACACTGCTTTTGCCACTACTGCACATCTTATGTAATAATAAGAATAAGTAAGGTTTGAGTTATTTTTCTGTCTGTATTGGTTGAAGTTACCGTAGAAGTCCATTTTAGCTGATTTTCATATGTAGCTTTCTTTACTTTATTAATAAAACATAATTTAAATATAATTTTTTTCATAAATCAAAAGAATTAATCAATCCAGCCACTTCAGAACTTCATAAATATAGAGCCCGTTTGGTAACATGAAAATCAGCTGATTTGGCTGATTCTGCTGAAATTTATGAAGTTCTGACGGAAGTGGGTGCATTGGCTGATTCTACTGATTTAAGGAAAAATAAATAAATATATGTTATTGATAAAATAAAGAAAAACCTATATGTAAAAATGGCTAAAATGGTCACCTACAGTAACTTCAGTCAATAGAGCCAGAAAAGTAACTTCAACCTAACATTTTCTCATTATTACACAATTCAGCGCACGAAAAAAATTACTCCCTCCGTCCCTGTTTTATCTCCCATTTCGGCTGGGCACACTTATTAAGATAGTGGGTTTTGTGTGGTGGAGAGTTGTGCAGAGGAGAGAGAAATGTGTAAGAATGATTGTGAACCACAAATTCTTTGTTAAAAAGGGAAGGAGGAGATAATTTTGGGACGGACGAAAAAGGAAAGTTTGAAGATAATTCAGGGACAGAGGGAGTACGTGTTTGATGAAAAAGTTGGCTAATAAGTTTGAAAAGTCGAAAACCTTATTACCAAACGGTCTCATAAGTAATAATTGAAAAACAATCCTTAAACATTAATACTCAGAAGCGTGTACAACGGCCAACCCTGCTTATAAGCTTATATATTAGGTACGGGGTAGTACTTCTTTTATTATTATGACTCCACTTGTAGGTTTGTAGGTGTAGCTACGTGTAAAACATGCAGCCAAGCATATT